CGAGCGGTGTGGTAAGACTTCCCCGTCTCTTGCTGGCAAGATGTTCTTTCATTCTTACCCATAACTGTCTCCCAGTCTCTCCGATATAAGTGGCGCTGCACTCAATACATTTGATCTCATATATCACACCGGTCTTACCGCAGTCACCAGCTTTACCGGATGGACAAACTACACAGTCTTGGATTCTGCAGTAGTTGTCGTAAAGTCTGTTACGTACTAGCCGCTTCCTGATGTTATCACTTGGAATGTCAATCAAAACGACATCGTTTTCGAGGTTCGCGTGTTTAATGCATCGTCGCACTATAGCACTAGTCGCGTCAGAAACGAAAGGAAGACAGAGAGGTATTTTCTTGGTGCTGGTTGCTATTGATGGAAATAGATGTCTACCACGTCCATTTCGAAACGTGTAGCCATTCATTCGAGCAATATCCAGCGCCCATCTCTGCGACTCCTTCCGTTCTTCTTCTCCTGTGCATACGTTCGTTGCTGTTTTGAGCATGTTACGGATAACAGCTCTTTTAACAGTGGTCGGATGTGCGGAGCGAGCATTAACCAAGATATTCTTGGAACTCTCTTTGCGATACCATTTCACATTCGCAGCGCCGTTGGACAGTTTGATTTGTACGGAGATAAGGAAGCCAACAATTTTTCGGTTGCTGCCGTATAAACCTTATGTACTGTGACTGTTGGTTGAGTAATCGGAAACACTCATCCATTTCGGATTGTGTTGATGTTATAACGCAACAGTCATCTATATAACGACAGTACATTAGAGGTAAACGCGACAGCACTGGCTCTTCTATTCTACTCATAAAGCAGACCGCGAGCACTGGAGCAAGCCTTTGTCCCATCGCAAGACCTCTCAGCTGAGTATAGTATGTTCCTGACCACTTGATGTTACAAGAAAGGCATTCTTTGATCAGGAGCATAATCGATCGTTTACTCAGCCCAAAAGTCTGGATCTTCTCACCAAAGGAGTCCAACATTTCCGAAACAGCCTGTAAAGCATCGTCATTCTGAACATTCGTGTACAAGAATACACGAATGTTTAGAATGACGATGCTTTACAGGCAGTTTCGGAAATGTTGGACTCCTTTGGTGAGAAGATCCAGACTTTTGGGCTGAGTAAACGATCGATTATGCTCCTGATCAAAGAATGCCTTTCTTGTAACATCTTCAAGTGGTCAGGAACATACTATACTCAGCTGAGAGGTCTTGCGATGGGACAAAGACTTGCTCCAGTGCTCGCGATCTGCTTTATGAGTAGAATAGAAGAGCCAGTGCTGTCGCGTTTACCTCTAATGTACTGTCGTTATATAGATGACTGTTGCGTTATAACATCAACACAATCCGAAATGGATGAGTGTTTCCGATTACTCAACCAACAGTCACAGTACATAAGGTTTATACGGCAGCAACCGAAAAATTGTTGGCTTCCTTATCTCCGTACAAATCAAACTGTCCAACGGCGCTGCGAATGTGAAATGGTATCGCAAAGAGAGTTCCAAGAATATCTTGGTTAATGCTCGCTCCGCACATCCGACCACTGTTAAAAGAGCTGTTATCCGTAACATGCTCAAAACAGCAACGAACGTATGCACAGGAGAAGAAGAACGGAAGGAGTCGCAGAGATGGGCGCTGGATATTGCTCGAATGAATGGCTACACGTTTCGAAATGGACGTGGTAGACATCTATTTCCATCAATAGCAACCAGCACCAAGAAAATACCTCTCTGTCTTCCTTTCGTTTCTGACGCGACTAGTGCTATAGTGCGACGATGCATTAAACACGCGAACCTCGAAAACGATGTCGTTTTGATTGACATTCCAAGTGATAACATCAGGAAGCGGCTAGTACGTAACAGACTTTACGACAACTACTGCAGAATCCAAGACTGTGTAGTTTGTCCATCCGGTAAAGCTGGTGACTGCGGTAAGACCGGTGTGATATATGAGATCAAATGTATTGAGTGCAGCGCCACTTATATCGGAGAGACTGGGAGACCGTTATGGGTAAGAATGAAAGAACATCTTGCCAGCAAGAGACGGGGAAGTCTTACCACACCGCTCGGTAAACACAGAGTTGAATTCCACTGTGGTAAGGACTTCGAAATCAGATGTACTATACTGGCACACGAGTATGGCACTGCTAGTAGAAAAGCTCTCGAGGCATTTTGGATTTTCGCAAGAAATCCATGCATGAACAGCCGAAATGAGTGTGCGTCAATCACGAATGACTTTATGCCTTTCTTGGAATTTGTGAGTTGAAGAATGCCGCTAGTGATTAGTGTCAACACGGTATGACCATATTTCACTATTAGTACTAGTGGCACTCGAGGACGGCCGCATTCAACATCTACGCGGCAGCGGCGGAGGAGGTTGGTTCGTCTTTCACGTTTCTGCGTATTTTCGTTTGTAGCATTCGGGGGTGAAGTCGAGGCTAGCCAGGATGGAAGAGGTTTCTGGTGGGGTAAGGCATAAAATCATTGATCTCTTACCACTTTAGGCCTCTGAAGAAGACGATCCAGTCGAAACGTCAGGCCGCCACTAACTAATAAAGTACTAACCTCGCTCGGCTCACTAACCTACTAACCTACTAACACATAGAAAACGAAGTTTTTCATGTTTTTTCCAAAACAAAGCTGAGACGTTCTAGCACTGACAGCTGTATACTATAGGACCTTAGAAGCGTGAATATGATTTTTTTAGCTCTTTACAGCAGCTGGTTTACGAGAAAAATCGAATGTTTAGCAACTAGGCAAAAAAATCCGGATAAGGAGAGCTAGATTCGTCATTTCTCGTGAAATAGCAGTTCTAAAAGCTGAAAATGTAAAGTTTTACTGCTAACGGCATGTGCTATACAACTGTTAGTGCTAGAACATCTCAGCACTAATTTATCAAAAACATGAAAAATTTTGTCTTCTCATCGTCTAGCTGAGAAAAAAATACAGCAACCGTATAGATAAATGTCTTACGTGTCTACTCGTGAGCAAGAAAGAAATTTTGTAGGAGCTTTTTGAACGAAGTTACAACTTTGTTTGTTCGGTCTTAAGGTTTTCGAACGCATGGTTTTTTTCATTTTTCGGCTCAAAACCACGCGTGGACCAAAGCTGGGCAGATATTTGAGAACTGCCTTGTACAGTTAAGTTTGCTCTATCTAAAGATATATCGGAACCTATTTGGGATATAACTTTGTTCCGGATTATTGCGGTCTGTACCTATTTTGGTGAAGAAATTATGCATCAACCCAGTACTATTTTTTTATGACTAGAAATAAAGAAAAAATCAATGGAGGTGAAATGGCAAACCCCGATCCTAGACATCCTGGGCTCCTCTCACGCACGTGATCATATAGCTCATACATACAGAAGTACGACCATGTATTTGTAAACTTTGAAGGAGCCCCAATTCTCGAGAAATGCTGATGTTCAGGATAAAAGCTTAAAATAATGGGACACCTCAACAGGTATGTCACAATTGGGATATTTGGTAGTCTTGAAACTGCAGTCAACTGTTTTATTGTAAACTAAATTCAATGCCCAAGTTTTCCATCTTTGCTGTTGGGTTTACGAAGTTGGTCTCTAGCTCATTAGCCGGTGTAGTTTCTATTCCTAGAATTTTCATTGCGGACGACCTCATCCACTTTTTGTAAGGTTCAGTTGTACATGGTTTATTTTCCTTGTTCTTGATGAACGAGGAAGTAAATTTCTTCCCTACAAGGACAGACTTACAAGGCCGTGATCTTGATTTCCACGGACGATAGCTAATTCCGAGTGTGGATGGTTTAACCAAAGAGCTCTCGAAAATTTACCAAAAGCTACAGTCCATTCTCTTGTTTGTGGTCAAATTCAGGTATTTTCTGAATTTTTGTGCTATTTTCCGAAGAAGTCCACGTAACATGTGAATAGGCAAACCCTATAGGATATAAACCAGAGTTCCTTCTGTGGTTTACTTCTCATGAATTTCCGGCCTATTCTTCAATGCTATCAATTTACACAGTTGGCCAACTCAAACCTCATAAAACATCAACCGGCAAGCAGCGAAAATGTCATTCAATGGCCGATCGAGGGCCCCCCCCCCCGAGAATAGGTCGCGAAATTTTTGAAACTTGCCTTTATGGGTTATAAAAATGTGCAAACGACTTGTTTATTTTTGTAAATAATTAGAATAATTTTTAAAATTTTTGAAAAATTCAAATTAGCCTTATAAAAAAATTTTTCGGGGGGTAGCTGACGCCACGCCCCCTTTTTCCAGATTTTAGGGGTTGGGGACCCGCAAAAATTTTGAGAAGCACCCCAAAAATTTTTTCGGAGTGCGTGGCTGACGCCACGCACCTTCATTTGAAAAAAATTTTGTCGCCCCTCCCCCCTGGTCCAAAATCCTGGGACCGCCATTGGTGTCATTTTATGTTTTTTTTCCTTCGTATAAGCTTCTTTTCTTTCTGACTTGTAGAAGCTTTGAGGATGAAATCAATGCAAATCTCAAATCTTTTTAACACATTGACGACTGCTTGACACACATGGTGTGTCAAGACAGAACACACCATATGTGTAAATGGAATTGTGCGTGATTTTATCTAGAAAACGTTGACTTTTCCATGAAACGCCTTGGTTGTCAATGTGTTAACGCTTCTTTTCCTGTACCTGCAAAATTCGAAATTTGACATATCAGAGCGATAAAGGCTCAATTGCGTGGTAAACTTGGTAATTGATTGTCATCAATTTTTTTTTTGGAAACGATTTGAAGGGCTATATAAGTCTAAAGCCCTTGTGTATTCTGCAACTTCGCAGAATTAAAGAAGCAAAAATTGCCTCGAAAAATACTGGAAAGCCATTGGAGCTCTCGGAAATTTACCGACGATCATCAAGGGACTAGAGATAAAAATATTACTGCTAGAAAGTGGTAAAACTTGCATCAACGATGTTCAAGACGTGATCTAAGGACAGGTCTGAAAAAGGGCAGAAATTTCCGGACCAATCCCATATCTTTTTTTTTGTCAGGACGCTCCGGAACGTGCGTTTAACATGCAGAACTTCTTCATGGCTTACGGAACTATAGCCTTCGCATTTGGTGGTCATTCCGTCTTCCCAACAATACAACATGATATGAAGAAACCACGTCTTTTTGGCAGATCTGTATGGGTGGCATACATACGTAAGACTTGTCCATGTTCTAAATCACTCAATATAATAGCTAAACATTCCAGTTATTGTTCTGTACTACTTATGTATCGCCATCGGTGGTTATATAGTATATGGTGCATCCGTTGGAGATGCTGTCATACATTCTATTCAATGGCAATGGGTACAGCAAACGGTTAGTCTGCGGTTTTGACTTGTGCTCCAATTTGTAAGGAAAAAGTGGGAAGTAAGCATGGATGAGGAGAAGGCGTGAAACATCTTTGTGTGGTATTCCACGCCCAATTGTCACTGAACCTCGGCATTGCGTGTAACTTTTGAATTGATTGTAGAGCCTGGACGGCCTCGAAAAATCAAAATCATCTATACCGCTAGGCGCTCATCACAGGCAATGCATGATAATCGGTCCTTTGAAACAACTGTCACGATCCTATCGCGAGAACCCGTGATGATAGCGCGAAAAACCTTAGAGGCGTTCTGAATAACAACCAAGACCTCTAAAATGAATCACAGGGAGGAATGCATCGCCGTGACCAATGAGTTAGTTCTGTATCATAATCTCTGTGGGTTTTGATTTGCGAGGTCGAGGTCGGATACTGTATGAGAGGCTAAATTAAAGACGGCATAATTAAGTCCGTGCTACTCGGTCTGTTCACCGCTAAGTCTATTGAGGTAAGCGCTAGCTTGGTTCTAACTCTCTGGTATCGCAGTATTGTTTAGCATGATGTTGAAAGATATTCCTGTGGCTGATTAGGCGTTTGAGTGGATAAGTCACAATGTTTTTAACCTTTAAATGCTCTGAAGAAGGCGACGACGACGGAACGTAAGCCCAAATAAAGCTACAATCAATTCAAAAGTTATACTTGTGTGAATTTCGTAGAACACAAAAACTTGATGTTTTACAGTAGAATGCCAAAACAACCTTTTCATCAGTAAGGTATCAGATGCTTTCCATCAGCCATCTTTCGCTTTCGCAGGAATGCTCTGCGTTGGATTTGCCGCAATTTTCTGTTGTCTAATCATTATGCAGTCATTATCAACATGAGAAGACTCTACTGAGTTGTTAAGCTTTTTCTTCTGTATCGAGCACGTGCTCGTAAGAAAAAGGGGCGTCAGTTTTTTGTTAGGAATTATTAATTCGCAAATCCTGGAAGTCTAAGCTTTTGCCTGACAGGGAAGATGTTTTCACTGTGTTTAATCAAAGTGGCCTCTTCTCACAATTTCTATAACATTTTGGAGATCATGAAGGATTCCAGACCTGTTTTCCATAACTGCCACGCGCATCTGGACGCCGAGACATGAAGACATGCGAAATCAATCATTACGGCCCTTTCCGCGTTGAAATAGTTCGATAATGAGCATGAGTGTTTTGAAGAGAAGCTGCTTACTTCAGGCCGTGATGTTCAACACTTACTCATTTAGGACGTTCAACTCGGTGTTTGCGCGTTCGATACTTTTCGACATGGTATAGATCTCATCTGGAAAGCTCATTGCAGCTAAAAACACTTTCTTTGTACGTCATACTTATATATGACAAAGCACTCGCCTTCCAGCTACTTCCCCAATAAAGAAAATAAGTATGTAACTGCTACATATCAGTTTCAAGTCGCAAAAATTAAAGGCAGTGGCTCGGCAAATCTCAATCTAGTCAAATTTGCGCTTACCTGGGGTTTTTCAGTGCGCTGATCCCGAAAATCCACTTTTGAAAGCTTGAAAACGGCGAAAATGAGCGTTTTTTAATGCCCTTCACTTTGATATTGGACGAGTGGAGCAAGGCCGATGACGCTAAATCGTGGCCGGACCCAATGGTTATAGCGTTGCGGCGGGCAGCCTCCAATGGTGAGAAGGAAATTGGCAACTCGTTCAGATGCGTGTAAGATTGGCCTGCGCGTGTAAGTTCGAGAGCGATTTTCACGGCAGGGAAAGCATGCTGTGCAACCGGGATTGCACTGTTTTCATAGTTGGGCGATAAGGAACCTACGGCGTTAAAATCCCGAGTGTTGGATTTTGCCGATCTAGATATCAACTCTATGATCGCAATTTTTAGGTGAATGCAATGGTTGCACTGCATGTTATTACCACAATTGTTATTGTATTTTCTCCTCTGACACAACAAGTGGAAGATCTCCTTCAAATTTCTCACGGTAAGCGCTTCACATATCTATGACAGTTCAATAATCACCCGTCTGTAACTTATGAGTCTATAGCAAGTTTATTACTGTCGATCAATGAATAAAATTTTTTCCACAATTTTTGATAGCGTCTTTATCTGCACCGACTTACAAGGAAAGGGTACTAATTTAGATTCGCCTTTTGAGATGAGACACATATTTGGCATCAGCTTTGAACTCTGATTTCAAGTATGTTATTCCTAGCTGCTCAGCGTTTTTCCAGAGCGAGTTATGGGCTTGCCGTTGTGAGTAATTAGCAAACTTCTGATTGTCGTAAGACGGCGTACAGATGAGAATCTGCTCGAAAAAATGCTAGGATGCTGAATAGCAGTCCTTTCTTTCAATCTTGAAAAGGAGCATTATACAATTAAAACTACCTAGACGTCGACACCGTGGCATCCGTAGCTCCAAGAGCTCGCAAACTTCTTATAAAAATAGACCATAACTCGCTTCAGAATAACGCTAAGCAGCTAGTAATATCAGATTTGGAATCAGTATCCTTCCCTTGTTGGTTAATGATAAGCTTTCGAGTCACTGCTTACGAAGTGAAGGTTAATCCAACATTCGTATTCAGTGTCGAAGTTGGCGGATAATTTTCCATAATTCTCTCTTTAATTTTTAGACCTCTTGAAGTTTTGGGAAACGTGCACCACAAGATTAATTAAGAGGCACAGAAATCCATCCGTATAGATAATCATCTATGAGGATATAAGTGTTTGTCGCTCGTGAACGGGTGTGTGCTTTTTTTGAATTCGATTTCGGTTTCGCGTGTGCGGAATGCAATTGGAGAAAGGAGGAGGAGGCAAAAGGAGGCAAATTTTTATTATTACAGGGGCTAAATCTTTACGTGTAAATGTATATAAATCAAAACTACTTTATATCCATTTTCATTAGATCTATACATTCGAACTCATTTGCTTGAGAGTATTCTAGGAATAATACTAAATTTTGACTTCTACTGGTATTCCAAAGTAAAACAAAAGTGCTCATGATAGTCAAACTATTCAACATACTTGTTGCAGATTTTGGATGGCAAAGATTTTTCGTTCGTTCGTTCTTATTTTGGACCCTCATATTCGTGGCACTATCCGTGCCAAACTTTGGTCCATTTTTAGATTTGGTAAAATCATCACTATTTCCGTATCTGTTCCATACAGTTCCGTTTAGATTGGCGCTTCGACTATGTCAATAATGACTATGATTATGCCAAGCATATTTTACTTATATTTGAATGCATCGAAAGCTAAGAGACAAGTAATGTTTGAGAAGGGCGAAATGAGAAATGATTCGGATGAAGTCAGAGCTAATTTCTCGGAGTGAGTCATTTCAGTCATTTTCCTTAAATTGCTGCAAATATGTTTATTCTCTTCCTCTTTCCTATTTGGACTTTTTTACAAGTTAAGTGGAATTTTGTTCTAAGATAAGTTCTTCTAGATTATTCACTTACCTACCTCGACGGACGCTGATAATCAATTGCCTTTCCCTCAGTAAGTAATCTTTTCAAAATTTCGTAAGCATAGTTATTCGATTGCAGCTTTCGGAATTGTGGGCGGTACTGTAGCCACCATATATTCCCTTATCAAAATGATTGGAACAGATGTATCACCACCGTGTTACATCCAATATTTCAGAGAAGGTATAACATACCACAACAAAAAGATGTTCATGACTGTACCAAAGAATAGAATTTTTAGGACTTCCATTCGTATCAGCTATCTCAGGGGGTGTGAATTGTTGTGGAGCTTTCCACAATGTCACTGTATCTGGAATCGACCCTGAAGGTTTTTGTGCAGCATCTTGACGACATTAGTGTCAATGATACCTATACCACTGATCACTAGCCTCGTTTTGAAATTTAATAATTTCTCATGCAATGATCTTTTTCTATAAATGTGTACCATAAATCTTAGCTGGCTGGCATTTCATGAAAGAAAATTCCCTTGCCGTGATATAATTGTTAGGAGGCTCGAGTCGCTAGTGAATGTTCTGGAAGTATAATAACTGCCTGTTTTATCTTTATATCGTTTGAACTTTCAAGTTCTCTGAGTAGCGCAAATGTTTTAATTTATCCTTCCATTGATCCATTCGCAATAATGCGATTCATCTAGTGAGTCTACGTGTTTTGCCGTTCGAAGCAAAATACAGATTTTTGACTGAAACTTGAAGTGGCTTCCAATCGACATGCTGATCAGAAGACGATAATTGGGCTTAAAACTTCGTTCCTGAAATTCCTGGTGTGATTTGCACTCTTGACATTGAATATAAAATTCTGTTCTGCTGTAAATCACCTCACTAAATAAACTTTTGCAAGAAGTAAGATTCCCAATCCTTGGTCACTGAGGACGCCCGAGAGTTGACGACAGCAATCTGAAAATTCTTTCAAAGCACCTTTCAACTTGTCAACATTTATTTTTCACTGAATAATATCCATCTCAGGACTTTGACCTGAGCATAAATTGAAATAGGGCCTTGTGTTATATGCACCAACTGGTATACCCCCGCCTTGCTCGGCCCTGTCAATACACTAGATAGAAATCACCATGCCCTACTTCCGTACAACATTCCCCTGTCTCGATCTCACCTTATATGTCAATACCCTCTCTGCTATGTTTACGTGATCAGCATGCGCACTCACCCCTGTGCCATCTCCATGCTCTGTAGCTCCACTTTGCAGAAAATTGATAAAAACGGTAAAATTAGTAGTGATCGATGACAAAAATAGCCCTCAACGCGCCTCCCTTAAGTGCATGCGTGCAAAGTTTGGCTTAGAGCATCTCAATGTTTTCTATTTAGAACATACGTACATTTCCTAAACGAGAACATATAACGAGAGCCTGAAACTTTTGAACACCAACACAGGCTAGACAGGGCTTATATTTGCTTCCTCGTAAGATCATTTACGGCGCACAAATTATTCTAATACTGTCGATAAAAATGAGGAAATGAGGATGTGTTTATCTGTACCTCATATCACAATCCATATAACAAAATTTTAGTGCGTCATGTCCAAAAAGGGGTGAATATAATAAAGAAGCCTGAAGTTGATAAGATCTTTTTCTCTTTAATTCGTCATTATTCGCACTGCCTAATGTATTTCTGCAAAACTGGAGCGAATTTCAAGCAATCTAAGATTAGCTGTTGACAAATTTTTTGTAAAAGAACTGACACCTATTTGGTCGCGTTCAAATTTTTTTCGTTCGAGCGGAGTTGCAGAGGTGACGCTCATCGGTACCATGCTACGTAGCGTTGCAGTTATTGTACCGTGGTTCAATGTTTAGTAACTACAGCGACCATTTTATGTCTATGTATTTTCTAGTGTAAAAAATCGCAGATATCAATCTAGCATAATCAGTTGAGCACTGGTAATTTTCAAATTTATAATTAATTTGTCGTCTAAATTTTCGGAAACTTCGTGCAAACCTCGTTTGTAGTTATCATATTGTGATAGAAATTTTCCCAGAGAACTGTTTGCTTCATCCTTGGACAGGTGAATTGGAATTTTAGATGTTATCAAAACTTCTCAACGCATTCTATTTCTTTCACTTAAAGGCAGTTTCTAAGAGAATCTGTGCAGGTCGTTACGTTTATAAACCTTACCTATATCGGCATTGTTCGGTTGTGCCTTGAATCTTGGCATGATAAGTACTTGTGGACGTAGTTTTCGGGCTACACCAAAATTGGAAACAATACTTCACTTTCGACGTTTTGACGTTCAACGCCTTCTTCGGAGCCTGGGAGGTCGGGGTCATGATGGCGGTCGTTTGGTGCATTATTCGTCTGCGCACCCTCGCGGGGTCGGGGATTGGATTCCATGATTGCGGGCATGTTCGGCACTGCGGCGTTGCACGGCGATCGCGCGGCTTTGTGGGCGATAGGGCTTACATGGCGGACGAGATTCCCTTTTGCCTGCCATTTGTATCGGATAAATTTAACAGGGCAGTGCGGCGATGCGTACATCGCGCGGGTTTGCAAGAGGCCATTAGAGTGGTCGATATACCGCCGCCGGACCTAAAACGGCAACTGGTTCGCAACTGTATGGATGATCGTATTTGTGTTTGACCTGCTGTGTAGTATGCCCATATAGCAGAGAGGGTGACAGTATGGTATCAGGAGTAATTTATCTGATCACGTAGGAATGTAGGTGTCGTCACATGTTTATCATGTGACGACACCTACATTGGAGAGACCGGCCGCCCTCTTTGTGTTCGTATTCGTATCTTAATAAATCTAAATCTCCACACCTCTGAGGCAACATCGCAGAACACGCCACCAAAACGCCGAAGTTCAAATTGAAGTGAAGATCCTGTCGTTTGAGCCCGAAATCCTAAGGCTCCCGCCAGAGTGCCGGAGTTATGCCAGCGCTACGCCAGCATTTCGATCGATACAGTGTATTTCGGGGCGGGGCTAGCTGACGTCCCCAACGAAATACACGTGTATCGATCGAAATGCTGGCGTAGCGCTGGCATAACTTCGGCACTCTGGCGGGAGCCTAACACGCAAAAGGTTGGAAGCGTTTTGGATAGCTGCTAAAAATCCAAAAAGGAACAGAAAAGACGAGTGCATTACGATGACCACCGAATTCGCATCTTATCAATCCATTGTGGAGTTGCATGAAGTCAAATCACTATGGAGTATAAAAGTGAGGATGAGGCACTGTTTGGCATAAGGTGGCCTGTTTTCAACTACCGCTTGTGCTACGTCTAAGGTTAGCAAAAAGTGTTTTTAACTCTGATGTTGCTCTTTGGACTATTCTTCTTTTCGATTTTGTTTCCTTGTCTTCGTTCGTTGTTATCCTTGTTCTTAACGTCTGATCGCATAGTCACTTATGACCAGGGTCAAGCTTGTGATGCGACTGTCGCAACGGGGGGTCGTAAAGAGGATACCTAAAGTGGGGGGGGGGGGTCGTAAGAGAAGGTAGTTAGGCTAAAATACCTTAAGCTTAAAAGGGAATCAAAAAGCAGATAATTAGTTATGTTCTTTACAATAAATCTATAAAAAAGTGGAAATCAGAATAAAAAAGGTAAAAAATCTGTAGAACCAAAAAAAAACATTTACAAGAGCTCAAAACACTTTTGAACGATGTATGATTTGATAAAAAATGCTAAATGTACCGATTGCTCCAGAAATCTTGCTTCTGAAGCCCTCCTGAAGTCTTACACACTCGACAAAAGCGAATATCTTTATCAGCTGTGACCATCAAAGATTTCCAAACCTTTTTGTAGTGTTTTTCACAGGCCCAAATGATTTATCTGTACTTTGAAGATGCTCCGCTACATCAGTGCGAAAATTTGGTGTTATTTTGTCAACTATGGATTTTCTTATAATTTTATGTATAGTAGCAAAAAATCAGGAAAGGGGGTAGTGTTTGGGTCGCATCTAAATTTCTTCGGAGCTATTGAAGCTTGTTGTCTGCAATTCTGCTGTAATATGAGGCCAACCTCCTACTTTCCCTCATAAAAATTGCACTCTGTTTCATAACTTCTCTGGTAAGTTACAAAATTTTAAGCTCAAAAATCCCAGTTTTTGCTTTTAGGATCGCATTTAAATTTGCGAGAGCGCATCTAAATTTTTTCGAGCTTACTGCTCCTCAAGAGCTGAAACTTTTTCTACGGATAGACTGGTCAACATGCTACAGAATCTATGCTTTGCAGCCTCTCAGTCTTTTCCTGGCCTTAGTTAAGAATTTTCAAACTACCGTGCTCATGCGCGTTTTTGACGTCGTTCTGGACGGCGCTAAAGCGGTTTTTTACGCAGGAAAAACTGTGGATAAAGTAGGATGTAGTCTAAAACTTCTCCTGCGGTTCAAGAATGTCATTTTTTTCTTCGTCCGAAAATTTGTGTCGCCTACGCGAATCGAATTTGCTGGTCTGAAGTATGCCTGAAAATTCAAAAAAAGCTTGCAGATACTCAAACATTATTGAAGGTGTGTATTTGTGCTACAGATGCTAGACGCACCCATAGGCCTAGAAATTCTGCTTCCGAAACCTCCGTGAAGTTTTCACGCAGGTGTTTTTTGAGATTGACATTCGTTTATGCAGGTTACCGCGAGGAATGTGGGCGGGGCAGGTAAGAGGGATAAATGGGGGAGGGTGGAGGGAGGGGGGAAGGGGGGGGGGTCGTACGGGTGGGTTCCCTCAAGGGGGGGGGGGTCGTAAATGAGGGTCCCGGATCGCGTCAACACGCTTGACCCTGCTTATGACTTCGACTTTCCAGGCTCCGAAGAAGGCGTTGAACGCCGAAAGGTCGACGTCAGCCAATAAAGTATTGTTGTTACCAGTCTTGGTGTAGCTCGAAAACTACGTCTACCTTACACCCGTATTCCTGATTTCGAATCTTGTTCGCCTACAACCCACTTTGTTTTGCACTGTTATCCGTCATGTTTGTTTTGCACTGTTATCCGTCATGGGTCTTTAAGCAGGTATACGGTCTTAAATCGAGAGTGTCAGCCTTAGAGATGAAACTTTCGGCTGCGAAGAGAATATTTGCGCTACCGCTCAAGCAGCGCCTTTATTAGCCTTCATTACGAGGACCACTCCGTGCTCCGTATAAAAAAAACGTAAGTTGCGTACACTTCGCTCTTCTATCGTTTACATTCTAACAAAAAGTTTAGGCAAAAACTTGCAAGTTTTTCTATATTACAACCATTAAAAATTTTTCCGGATGGCTTATGAATATGGGTAGAATCGCGTGTATCAGTGGTTTCTATGAACGAGTTAATCCTCAATCTGCAACATTTCTTGGCTTCCTACTATTTCTAGCAATAAATCACGACTTCAGCATCGAAGGACAAATTCAGCTTAA